ATTTATTGTGGAGATGAGGTCTCGCTGCCCAGGCGGGTCTCGAACCCGTGGGCTCAGGCCTCCGCTCACCTCAGCCTCCCAGGGCACGGGATTACAGGCTGAGCCACCGAGCCCGGCTCTCCCTTCTTTTTGAGTCGGGATCTCATTCTGCTGCCCAGACTGGAGCGCAGTGGCCTGATCACAACTCAGTGCAGCCTCTACCTCCTGGACGCAGGCAATCCTCCCACCTCAGCTTCCCGAGTAGCTGAGAGTACAGACGTGCACCGCCACGCCACACCCGGTGAATTTTTTTTTTTTGGTAGAAGTGAGAAGTGAGGTCTCACTCTGTTGCCTAGGCTAGTCTTGAACTCCTGGGCTCAAGTGACCCTCCCGTCTTGGTCTCACAAAGTGCTGGGATGGCAGACACGAGCCACCACGCCCAGCCAGGTGTGAGCTCTCTAAGAACAAAATTCAGCTCAGGTACACACTGTATGATGACATTCCTGTACACTTCAAGAACAGGCAAAACAAACAGTGATAAAAGTTCGGGGCTGCGGGCTTGCCTAGAAAGGGGCCAGAAGGAGCTTTCTGGGGTGATAACATTTGTCAAAACTCATCACACTGAGCATTTAAGAGCTGCACATGTCACCGTACGTAGCTTTTTTCCTCTTTTTTCAGAGATGCCATCTTGCTATGCTGCCTGGACTGGCCTCAATCTCCTGACCTCAAGCCACCCTCCTGCCTTGGCCTCCCAAAGTGCTCGGATGACAGGAGCTAGCTGCTGTGCCGGGCCATCTGGGTTCTGATTTGGATGCAGGCTGCATTCACCCGGAGGCTGCCTGAGTTGAGGACACGCCTGGGGGTTTCTCAGCTGTGCTGTGTGTGGCCCATCACTGTAGGTATTCAAACAAAAGGACAGGTATTTAGAGGGAGCACTGCCATCAGAAGGCCCTTCCTGACCATCCCTGGAAAGCCCAGCCGTCTGAGCAAATGCCAGCCCCTCTAGACACTTGCCTGGTGCAGGTAAGCACGTGCACAGGAAATTCAAAAGAATGCGCTGTTAAGAGGAAGTCCAGATATTTGCTCCTTTAAAGATGTACTTTACAAACCAGGGCGGGCACGATGGTTCATGCCTGTTAATCCTAGCACCGCGGGAGGCCATGGCGGGAGGATCCCTTGTGCCCAGGAATTTGAGACTAGGCAACATAGTGAGACCTCAGCTCTACAAAAAATACAAAAGTTAGCTGGGCATGTTGGTGCACACCTGTAGTGCCAGCTACTCAGGAGGGCGAGGAGGAAGGATTGCCTGAGTCCAGCAGGTGGAGGCCATGGTGAGCAAGGATCGTGCCACCGCACTTCAGCCTGAGTGACAAAGTGAGATCCGAACTCAAGAAAAAAAGAGATGTACTTTACAAGCCAAAGACCATATTCTTCGGCGCCTTACTGGATGTCAGCGGTGGCTTCACTGTCTGCCCCTCCTCAGACGCCCTGACCTGGAGAAAGCCTGCCTGGAAGAGAAGGCCTTACCTCCTTTTGGAGACTCGTGGTCTTGGGCTCCTGGCTCTGAACTGACTTCTCATCCTCCTTCCGTCTTCTCAGGCCCGTCTCCCCCATTTTTCCCTCCTGCTAGTTCCAGGAGGCTGCTGGTAGGGCCCGGCCAAGCCTTGATCCGGCAAAAGCAGACAAGATGCAAGCGGCACTTAGCAAGGCTGCCCTGGGCTACGGCATCTGGGTCGGGGGCGCTGACTCCGGGGCACGTTGTAACTAGGCCATAGGAGAACACAGTCACCTGGCCCTTGGGGACAGCTTGCTCAGCCCCGGCGGAAAAACAAGGCTTTAACACGGCTGCCGCGTGAGGAACAAAGCTTCCTGTGCTCGCTTCCCAGCTCAGGTGCTTGTCTCCCCTCCCCGAGGGCTCCACAAGCCTCCTGGGCCTGAATAACTTTCTCCCCAAACGGGGCAACGTCATTTAGCTCAAAAGTAAAAAGAAGTAATTTAGACTATTTTTACTGGAACCAAACCCAAGGAAGGAATGGCTGTGTTCCAATTTCTTCCCAAGGTTAAGGCCCCCACACGTAACAGGCCCACGGTCAGGAGCGTCTCCACGCCTCCACTGAGGGATGGAATGGAAAGGGCTGCCGAGGACCAGCGGCTCAGGAATGAACCAGGAGTGGCCAGGCGCCACTGTCTCCGCTCCAGGTAAGTTCTCTGTCCAGCCTCCAGCCCCGAGAGCGTGAGCCTGTCCGTCACCCACCAGCCTCACCTTCCTCCCTGACCTTGCCTCTCCGCCGCCTTGCCGGCCCCGTGGACTCTCCAGCCCTAGAAATGGCCATGTCTTGTGCCCAGGAGTGGAGGAAGCCAGAAGGTACAGAGGTCAATAAGGGTAATTATTAAACACCTTTTTTTTTTTTTTTTTTTAAGCAACGAAGCTTAGATACATCATACAAAAAGGGGAGGGTCAGGCAAACCAGTTTCTCTCTAAAAATATACTTGTTTTGTCCATTTGTGTCCAGATGAGGTTTTTTGTTTTTTAGAGAAAACACATTGTTCTGAATAAACTACATCCTGTTAAGGAAAAACCTGTCTAAGGAGTAGTAATAATCCATCTCTCGGCTTTAGGAACAGAGGAGATAAACTTTGGTCAATTTTTTATTGCTTTAATAGGCTGTATTTACAACTCAGGTCAGGAGGTACAACAGGAATTGCCGTGCATGGATCTCAACAGCGGACCCATGTTTTCCACCCTGCCACGGGGTTTCCTCCCGAGACCCTGGCCTGCCTTCTGACTGAGCAGGGGACAGGGGGCCAGCCCTTCCCGCTCCTCTGTGCCAGTGACCGGGTGTTGGAACCACAAGAGAGCAGTTCCTGCGGGGAGGCCTTGCGGGGGCGGCCATGCTCCCTGCCGCTCTGGCCAAGGGCCCATCGGGTGTGGCCGTGCTGCTGTTCAAGCAGCCGGTCCACACTCACGGGACGGAAGGGTGGAGAAGGGGCCTGGAACGTCATCTGTCCCCCACGCTCCTTTGCCCACGAGGAAACCGAGCCCCACCGAGGTCAAGAAGCACAAGGCGCAGAGCTCTGGGCCCCACCCAGGACCCCACGGGTCCGGCTCCCTTGGGGAGGGAGTCAAGATTCTCCAGTTGCACTCAGAGGGGGTCATGGGCACCCCACTCCTCCACACAGGCCGACCCAGACTGCGGTGGCAGACCTAAACCCTAATCCCAGGTAAGGCCTTCCTCTGGGAAGGAAGCTTTTTGTCAGACAGACAGGAAGACAGCAGGAGGCACAGCCCGAAGCATTATAGCCTGAAGCCTTGTTACTGTTCTCTCCAGCCGAAAATCCCACAGTTTTGCCTTGGGGTAAACTTAACAGCATCCCAGATATTGCGATGGGACCAAAGGTCAGGAACTAACAGACCAGGCCGTCTCTGGGGTCCCTTTGGGGTTAACTGAGGCAGGCAGACCTGACCGAAGAACAGATTTCTCAGGGTCATTGCCTCAAGTCACTGGAGAATGCGGGGACCCTTGCGGTCCCAGAGCCAGGGCCCTGGTTTAAAGGTTGTTATGCCCCCTTGAGGGAGGGCCAAGCCTGCTGACCTGTCTGCCATGCCCAGAGCCCCGAGCAGGGTGCCTGGGTGCTCACAGCAGCTACCAGTCAGAGACTAACGGCCGGCAGGGCCTGCTGCCCCATACAGAACCTGCCCACGGGCTTGTGGGGTCACCCTACGGGAGTTCCTAGCCCTGCAGCACCCACCTCGCAGCCTCCGGCTCGCCTACATTAGCAAAAGACCACGGAATACTCCCAGGGTGAAAGTTGCCCAGTGGGCGGATAGAAATTCTTTTCTGTGTGTTTTGTTTTGAGTTGGAGTCGCACTCTGTCGCCCAGGCTGGGGTGCAGTGGCACGCTCGTGTCCATTGCACCTTCGTCCTGCTGGGTTCAGGCAATCTTTCTGCCTCAGCCTTCCAAGTAGTTGGAACTGCAAGCGTGTGCCACCACGCCTGGCTAATTTTTTGATTTATTGTGGAGATGAGGTCTCACCAAGTTGCCCAGGCTGGTCTCGAACCCCTGGACTCAGGTAGTCCTCTCGCCTCGGCCTGCCAAAGTGCTGGGATTATAGACTTGAGCCAACGTGCCCAGTATGGCAGGAGAAATTCAAATGGAAACCTCCATGAGGAGAACGGAGGGTGGTGGTCCCCCACCCAGAGCCAGACAGCCCCGCAGCCCCACCCACTAGCCACGTGGCCTCTCTGCAAGCATCACACTCTGAACCTGTAAAGCGGGACCAGTAGCAGCGCCGCTTATGAAACAGGACTGCAGGTTACACATTGGACTAGAGGTTTCTGGGAAAGTGGGGGATCCTCCGTCTGCTTGGGCCTCTGCCAGGTGCCAAGTTCGGAACATCTAGGCCCGCGGACCCTTTGTCAAGTCAGATATCTCCACCTCAGTTCATTTTGGATCCACAGTGAGCATTTTTTTTCTCTAACTGCACTTGTGACAGTAACATAGTGGGCGTTTCTTAAAGCTGTATTTCTCAGCCAAGGTCAGTGGGTCAAGTCCGTAATCTCAGCACTTTGGGAGGCCAAGGCGAGCGGATTGCCTGAGCCCGAGGGTTCGAGACTAGCCCAGGCAACTTGGCGCAATCTCATCTCTACAATACATAAAAAATTAGCCGGGTGTGGTAATGTGCACCTGTAGTTGCAGCTACTTGGAAGGCTGAGGTGGGAGGATCGCCGGAGCCCAGCAGGTCGAGGCTGCGGTGGCCGGGAGCAGCCACCGCACTCCAGTCTGGGCGATGGAGTGAGACTCCGACTCAAAAAAAAAAGCTGTGTTTCTCTCCCTGCTCCCACCCTCAGCCCCAGAGTCAGTATTCAACCAATTATCATGCTTTTTTTTCCTGGAAAATAATACGGATCTGATTAAAAAAACAAAATGTGTTCCAGTGCCTCAAGGCCTTTGGCTCCAGCCCTTCCACCACACAGGTGAAGTTCCCCACCCACCTTGCCATCAATTCTCTCTTAACAGTTATTTTCCTAGAAAGCTTTGTACAAACCTATGATTTCTTAAGTTTCTGCTGAAGCTCTTGACCTTCACTTTCAAATCGTGCTTCTTCTGATTGCAAAGATGCTTGCAAGATCAAAGATATTAACACCATCTGCATTTGATATATATTTTTTTTGAGTCGGAGTCTCACTCTGTCGCCCAGGCTGGAGTGCGGTGGCACGCTCACGGCCACCGCAGCCTCGACCTGCTGGGCTCCGGCGATCCTTCTGCCTCGGCCTTCCAAGTAGCTGGAACTACAGGCACATGCCACCATGCCCGGCTAATTTTTGTTTTTTGGTTTACTGAAAGATGAAGTCTCACCAAGTTGCCCAGGCTGGTCTAGAACCCGTGTGCTCAGGCGGTCCTCTCACCTCACCCTCCCAAAGTGCTGGAGTTATAGACATGAGTCAACACACCCGGCCTGCATTTGTTTTTATCTTCTATTTGATGCCTATTTGGTTTCAGTTGGGGCAGGAAACATGGCTTCCCTCCACACTTTAGCGTCTTTGGTTGGGCTATGAACTGACATGCTACAGGCTAACAGGAGAAAAGTCATTTAAATTATGTGCACATGCACTGGAGCCCACAAAACACGAGACTTGAAGAAAGGTCAGATGACAGAAACTTCTGTGGCAACCTGAGCTAGGGAAGGGATGGGAGCTGGAGCTTCTAGGGGTGGTGGAGACAAGTTATGGGAGGGTGAAGTGAGGGAACATATGGTGACTAAAGCTTGTTCTGTTATGCAGTCAAAAAGTCTCTCAGGTAGTACACGTTCCTTTCTGATACAGATAATGGTATGGATGTAGATTTCCTTGATGGACATACATTTCTTTTACAAAAGGGTGGCTTTTCAGAGCTACTCCTGTTTCTGCAGTTTCTCAGAATAAGCAGCTCAGAATATACCACGGAAGTGTATTTTGGGGTGGTGTGTCTGTCTGGTCTCTCACAGTTATATTGTGGTGTATCCGAAGCCCCAACACACCCTTCTGCTGTGGTGGTTTTTATTTGTGTTTTTTGTTTGTGTGTTTGGTCCTCGGTCTGCTGGGCTCAGGCGATCCTTCTGCCTCAGCCTTCCAAGCGGTGGTTTTTAAAGACATGTTTAGCCCAGCAGTGGAAATCCGTTTCTCCTCAGCCTCTGGGCTGCCCATCTGGGCGCCTTGGTCTCTAAGTCATCAGCCTCATGACAGAGGCAGGGTCTTTGGCCACCAGGCAGGGGCTGGACCTCCTTTGCCACTCAAAACTTGTTCCATGCTGTGTGCGGTGGCTCATGCCTATAACTCCAGCACTTTGCGAGGTGGAGGCAAGAGGATTACCTGAATCCAGGGGTTCACGACCAGCCTGAGCAACATGGAGCGACCTCATCTCTGCAATAAATCCAAAAATCAGCTGGGCGTGGTGGGGCATGCCTGTGGTTCCAGCTCCTTGGAAGGCTGAGGCGGAAGGAAGGATCGCCGGAGCCCGGCAGGTCAAGGCTGCGGGGGCTGGGAGCGGCCACTGCCCTCCAGTCTGGGTGACGGAGTGAGACTCCAACTCAAAAAAAAAAAAAAATTAGCCGGGGATGGTGGCGTGTGCCTCTAGTTCCAGCTACTTGGAAGGCTGAGGCAGAAGGATCATCTGCGTCCAGCAGGTCGAGACTGCAGTGGCCGGGAGCGTGTCTGGGTGACAGAGTGAGACTCTGAAAACAAAAACAAAACAAAACAAAAAACTTGTTCCAGACTTAAGTGTTCACACTTTCTCCCATTCTTGAAGTTCACTCCTCTTGTATCTCTTCACTCTCCTGCCTGGATTCAAGCTAGAACTCGCAAAGAGTCAGAGGAATGTGCAAAGTCTTTCAGTGTCAAGGACTTGCAGTCAGACCATAAAACAATTAGCAAGGAAAGCATAACTTCAGAAATCTTATCTAGGAACAGTCTAAACCTGTATCTATCCAAGAACTTTTAGGATATACAATTCTGCCTTTGAACTTTGTCCACCATTTTTATGTGTTCCAAGAAGTCCCGTTTTTCATGAATAATCTACGTGGAGAAACCAGGACTGTTTCAGTGTCATCATTTTTTCTTTCCTGAGACACACCTTCCTAGCCTGCTCCCTAGGTTATGAACCTTGTCACTGTCCATTACCGTCACTCCCTTTCTCAGTCACAATGGCCACACATGAAAAGTTGTGTTAGCTGTGAGGATGGAGACAGAGGGGTCTGCGTAACCAAATGTCTTTTGTTTTTATTTTTGAGTTGAGGTCTCTGTTGCCTAGGCTGGAGTACAGTGGCACCATCTCCACTGCCTGGAACTCCTGGGCTCAGGCCTCAAATATCTTTAATAAAGAGTTACTATTTTGCTTCTCTCTCTCTTTTTTTTTTGAGTCGGGGTCTCACTCCGTCGCCCAGGATGGAGTGCGGTGGCACGCTCATGGCCACCCCAGCCCCACCCTCCTGGGCTCAGGTGATCCTTCTGCCTCAGCCTTCCAAGTAGCTGGGACTACAGGTGTGCGCTACCACGCCCGGCTAATTTTTTGATTTATTAGAGATGCGGTCTCGCCAAGTTGCCCGGACTCATCTCGAACCCACAGACTCGGGCAATCCGCTCATCTTGGCCTCCCAAAGTGCTGGGATTACAGGCTGGAGCCACCGCACCCGGCCATCACTGGTTATTTCAAGCTGACCAGGAACTTTCCCGTGGATGTAAACACTGACCTCACCAGGGCCAAGAAGGAGCAAAGGGTTTCCTGCTCAGGCCGCCACCCACCGCGGGGGATGAGGTGGCCGGGAGTCCCGCTCTAGTCTGAGCCCTCCCCTGTCCACTCTGGCCTTTTTCCCACCCAGCCGCCAACCATGAAGCCCTCCCGCTGCACCCGAAACCTGCCCACCCAGCCGGGGCCAGGGCACCGTCCCTCCACGGAGCATCCCACAGCCTGTCCGTTCCTGAGCCTCCCGAGAGCTCTGAGCCTTTCAGGGGCCCACGCATTCCCCGCCTCGCCTGCCTCACCCGCCTCACCCTTTGCATCCAGACTCTGAGCTCCTCTGTGCTGTTCCCTATAGCACCCGGCAGGAGGCTGGGCAGAGCCGAGCACCGCAGGACCCCACGGTGCCCTGGACACAGTGGGATCCAGGGGTTACCACACCTGCAAAGTGCACCTGCACAGTGCGGTAGGGCACAAATGGAAAACGTGCTTTTTTGAGACAGGGTCTCACTATTGCCCAAGGCAGGAGGGCAGTGGCACGATCCCGGTTCACTGTAGCCTCAACCTCCTGGGCTCAACTGATCCTCCCACATCAGCCTCCCAAGTAGTTGGGACTACAGGTGCACGCCACCACACTTGGCTATTTTTTGTTTTTTGTGAAGACGAGGTCTCACTATGTTACCCAGGCTGGTCTCGAGCTCCTGGGCTAAAGTGATCCTCTCGCCTCAGCCTGCCAAAGTGCTGGGATTACAGGCGTGAGCCACCGTGCCCAGCCAAGAACAGGCACTCTTCAAGGGCATGAAAGGCTCAGAAAAGGCAGAAAAAGACAGGGACCTTGCGATCAGTCCTCAAGGCTGGGAGGGTCACCGCAGTGTCCCACTGGCAAGTTACCCGTGCAACACTTGCGGGCTGCTGCCCCTTTCTGCCCGTCTGCCGTCACTGGCACGTTGGCTCGGCTCCTCTGAAACAGCATCAGAGCTCTCTGGTAGGCCATCTTCGAGGGAGATGACACAGGTTTAAATCTGTTGGGTCTCTCTACCCCTTGTAAAACAAAGTTAAATCAGAATGACTTGACCGTGGGGCACGCTTAATGAAAGGTAAAGGACTGTTCTCTTTTTCCCTCAACTTTCCTTCTGCCATCGAAGACCCCACGTGCAGGCTCTAAGCATGGCCAGGACCAGTAGCGAGGCCGCTCTACACTTGAAGCGATGCGGGCCACGGCTCCGAAGGGTTTTGTAAAAGGCAGGGGTCCCAGGCTTCCACCCTTTCTAGTCCAAGTTTGGGTCCTTTTTAGCCTGGTGCCCCCGACTTCCTCCAGCCTGCCCGGGACAAACGGCCGTAGATACCTAGCTGTGGATACATGTGCCAGGAAGTCCCAGTGAACAGTTCCAAAGGCCGGGTGAGCTCCCTGAGGAGGCGGCCCCCCGGCATCCTTCTTGGTGAGGGCAGTGGGGCAGAGATTCCAGCCTGATGTGGCAGCCAGGGCTCTCGTCACAGGGGCAGGGAGCCCCG